AAAAACAAGGGGATAAGGAAAATATTGATACCCTGAATGTGTAGCATACCCTGACTGCATATCTTACATCTGGGTCATTTATGTCTTGATATTTGGGGACAGTCCTTTCTAGGAGTGGGTGGAAGTGCTGGGTTTCATGGAAATGGCTCATGGCTGAGGACAAAGGAGAGTATATTCTGTAGCACATTCAATGGAAGAAGATTTTGTCCCAAATGATAGCCACTCCTGCTCCACATCCACAGCAGGGCTCCGCCGAGGCTGCACTGGTGGCCTCATCAAGAGAAACGAGAGGCACAAGGAGAACTTTTAAAGGAGAGATCTGGGAGACTAGCAGGGAGGCAGTGGCCTATTCCCCTTTCTATGTGCTGGCCATGGCATCCCCAAGGACTGGTCCATAGTAGAACTGGCTCTGATGTCACCCAAAGTGAGGGTCTGAGCAGGAAAGAACTTATAGAGGGATGGACAGAATAAGGACCCACAAGACTCCACCTAAGTCTCCCAAGGTTAGATGGAAAGATATTTCAAGGTTCACTGTGGTTTCCAATCAGACCTCAAAAGATGGGAAGGGGAGGGTCTGGCAATTTAAGAGATGGCACCAGGGAACCACGAGCCAGCCTGCTGGGGAGGGAGGCAGAAAACAGCACTGCCTCCCTAGGCTCACCAACCCCAGGGCCTGCAAAGGGGAGTGCCTGGCTGAGTGCCCGCAGGCCATGTGACATGCCACACATACATATGTGGGCCAAGGCAGCCTGTGGCAGGGCATCCGGGCTGGACACCACCTAGGTTTCAGATCAGATCTAACAGGCCACAGCCAATATCAGCACAGCTAGCAAACATCACGCTTCAATTTCCAGTTGCCACCAATCTGTCCACAGCCATGGAGCCCACCCCACCTTCCCACAGATCAGCCCAGTGAAATGAGACGGTCCCAAAGGAGAGGAAGAGAAAACCACCAAGAAAGCAAAAAATGCCTGACCTCACTGAGCTGAGTTGACAGGTCCTCTGTGAAAACAACTTGAGGTTCTAGGAAAATACTTCTGCATGCATGGGGATAAGCCAAATGCACACAGATCATTCTCTGCCGAACAACTTAATAACGAATCCTACGACTAAGACCAAGGCAATCAAAATACAAGCTGAGAACAAGCTTACTTACGTTCCTTTGGAGCATTTCTGACACGAATCTGAAATAAGGCAACAAATGGGAAGTTAGAAAATGTAGGCATTTTCAAAATTTTTTTTAAAAAGAGGTAAACACGAAATTTCCATGTCCCATTTTCCATGCAAACACTCTAACACTGCACATGTTTCACCACACTAATTAACGATGAACAAGTAGTAATTACTCTGCTTTCTCGTTTGCAGAGATGGAGTGCAAAATCACAGAGAAATGTAATTTTATCATCTAACGTCAACTGGGCTGTTCATGAGTATTCCCATGACACTCAAGCCATTCTACCAGCTTAAGTTCGGGGTGGGGGAATATTGCAAAATGTGATGCTACAGGGATGTTAGAGTCCCTAAATCCTATGCACCTGGAAACATTTAGAAGCTGTGGAGCTCTCTACTCCTAATTTCCCTAAAGTGGAAGCTACTTGCTCACACAAAATCACCCTTAATTTCCACTGGGATTCTGGAGTAAGGTAGAAGACAAAGGTTGTGACATGGGTGGTGATGGGGGTGGTGATCTTACCAATTGTATCTGCAGGGATGGTGGTATTTGCATGACCCATAAAATGATTAATTCTGCCCTGGCTGGGAATATTTATTAGCTAAGCTTCCTGTCTTCTGGAACTCCTTTTTCCTTTGTTTCAGAATAAAATGTGAATTAAGGTTTACTATGACCACAAACACACATTCATAGAAAAGTTGAGCTGATGGCCAATGCTAAGGCGAAGGTGCACGCTTCCTTTTCTCTGGGGCAGGTAGCAGCCCCTGAGCTCCCTTTTCAGAGGACACACTGTAGGTGAAGGAGGTCTGGGGAATCAAGAAAAGTTGGACTTCTAAAATTTGCATGGGGATATGTTTGGTCTGGGGAAGATTTAAATCTAAAGAAATTTCTTCTATGTATATCTCTTGGGTGTTGAGTGTCATACAACACAATTCCTTGTCAAGTCCTCAAGGCACCTTGAAAAAGCCATTAAAGAAAAGTAGAAAAAGTACTTATAGGATCAGTAGAATATGCCAATGTAAGATAAAGAGTTCAAACCCGTGTTGCTCAAGAGTCAACTGTAACTTAAGGAGCAGGCCACACACACACTTAAAGCAAGTCCAACATACAGGAGACCAGATCTATAATAAAGGGGAGGAAGGGGGTAAATCATTTACTTCAAAAAAAGAACCCCTGATGTTACAAAGGGGCTTATCCTAGGACTCCTGTAACGAGTTCCTGCCCAGCTGGCATGGCTCAGTGGTTGAGCATTGACCTATGAACCAGGAGGTCACAGTTCAATTCCCAGTCAGGGCACATGCCCAGGTTGCAGGCTCGGATTCTGCAGGAGGCAGGCAATCAATGACTCTCTCTCATCACTGCTGTTTCTATTTCTCCTTTCCTCTCTGAAATCAATAAAAATATATTTTAAAAAAACACACACAAGTTCCCAGAAGCTTTAAAATATAATTTGGTATACAAAAATAGTATTGAATGCAATGTTTTTTTAGGACCAGATCAATTTCATAAAGTTGGGCAAACCCACGCTGCAACATGTGCACATCCCGCCTGGTTCAGAGAGGGTTTCTGGCTCCATCTCCATCAGTGCAGCAGAAGGACCGCTCACAAGACAAATATAGATGAACATACCTCTTCGTTTCCTCGATTGATTCCTCAGTGGTTTCCTTGTATTCTGGAACAGTGTCATTCATATCCATGCAGACTTTGCCCACAAATGCCCGCTGCCCAAATTTATCTGTGAGGCACACAGAAAAAGGACCTAAAGTCATGTGTCTTTCCCACACAGTACCTTCTCTGAGCCTTTTAAAACATGTTTAAACTAAAATCATTATGAAAACATAGGTGAGAATATGGAAGATTATTCATTAAGAACAATAACAACGAAACCCCACTAAGTTCTATAAGTAGCAAATATTCTTCCACCCATCACTTCAACCACCCCCTCCCCAACTCCCACTTCTAGGCTGGCCAGGTAATAATTGGGTGTTTTTACTTATTACTCAGTTTTTTTCTTTGCTTACACAGTTTGTCTATATTTTTACTCAAGTCATCATTATCCTTTTCCCCATTTTATTGCCTGGAAAAAGAGAGGGCAGCCTCAGACCCTGGTGTAACACCAGCTAGGAAGTTGACTCTACATTGGACAATGTTAATTTTTTTTATAATGTCTCCACCTGTCATAAGAATCTTACAGAAATCTTTCTGCCTTTCTCTTTCCCTGTAATTCATTTTAATAACTGGCCATTAGATTGCTCTTTCTTAAAACAGCACCTTGATCACATACCTCATTTGGCATCAAAACCTTCTTTGATTTTTTGATGCATATTCAAATCTCTCCCAGTCTGAATCATCCCATTCACCCAACCCCCTCTCCCACGCACCTCCCAGCCCCCATGTAAAGAATCCTGTCCTCCAATTCAGCTACTCTGTTCCATGCTTCCAGTGTCACTATACACATTCCTGTCTCCATGCCTTTGTTCATGTTTTTCCCCTGTCTGAAAGACATTTTCTCTTTCCCCATTTTATCTTTCCTTTAAAGCCAAATTTAAGACTCCCTTCCCTTCCATGAAGTCTTCCCAGATGTTCCAGTTCTGGGTTCTCTCTGTCTCTTCCCAAAATGGCAATAGTTATTTTCAGCAGCATCTTCTAGGCCTTTGACATCAATGACCTATGTCAGCAAGCAGTAGCGTCAGCATATCAGCCAACACCATTTACTAGCACCTGCTATGTGCTGGGCACTGTGTTGGATACAAGTTTCAGAATCATCGACCTAAATCAAGTTTCCTCTTCCTTACTACCTATGTGAGTTGAGCATGTTTTATAGCCTCTCTGAGCATCAGTTTATCCATCTGTAACATGGGGACACAATAACTACCTCGGAAGGCTGTTTGCAACTGAGCTGACATAATCCATGTAGAGTGCTTTGCACAATCCAGGCATCTTACTAAGAGCCCTACAGCCCGGCTAGCGTGGCTTAGTAGTTGAGCATCGATCGATGAACCAGGAGGTCATGGTTCAAGTCCTGGTCAGGGAACATGCCTGGGTTGCAGGCTCGATCCCCAGTTTGAGTGTGGAGGAGGCATCCGATCAATGATTCTCTCTCATCATTGATGTTTCTATCTCTCTCTCCCTCTCCCTTCCTCTCTGAAATCAATAAAAAATATTTTTTAAAAAGTGCACTACAGCTGTTCCTAAAGTTACTGATCAATGTGTATAGTTATTAATCAATTAGTCCTATCTGGCTTTTGTGTTCCCAGCAATTTGCACAGTGCCCTGAGTCTAACCAACAGCCAAGATATATGTCTGTTGATTATAATAAACTGTTGCCATTACTAGAATTAATAAACCTGCTCCAAAAAGCCCTAAGTTAATACACAAAATTCAGACCTATACACATGATTCTGGAACCAAAAACCATAAGTGAATAATCAAATTACCTAAACAATAAAAAACATCCAGGGGCCACAGTAATACAAAAACACCTAATTACTTGCAAGGAATGCAATGTCAAATTTTAGTAATTAAAAGGCAAGATTGCACATAAGTGTAACTCCCTGCCAGACATGGTCTGGCTGGCTTCCCTGGATGTGCTCATAAAGTGTGCCTTCATCTCCTCACCTGTAATTTCCGCAAGGAGCAGGGATGAGTCAGTGTAAATTGTTGTAAAGTAACAAGCTGTGGTTGTTCCATTCTTCAGTGTTCTCCTCTAAAAATACACCACAAAAACCATAAGTCACATGTGCCAAGAAAGTCACGTGGCATATACAGATGAAAATAGAATTCTAGGTCCCAATTTTAAAATGTTTTTATTTAAAGATATGACACCTCAATATGAAATACAGTTCAGATAAATGGCAAAGTACTAATATTCCAAAAGTGTGAGCTGGAGGAGAAGTTGATATTTTTGATTTCCTAGATTCATATAGTTCTATGTTGCAGAATTCATTAAATAGGATGCTAATTAATTCCTTATCTTTTAGGTTTGGCTGAGCATATGCAAACCGTATTGCATCTGGGAGTGAATAAAGGAGATTTTTCTGTCTATTACAGGGTAAAATAATTCATCCAGACTTCTCGTTCAAGCTGGCAGATTGGTCACATGCATCTCTCTCTCTTCCTTAGCAAATTTCCACTAAAATAACAGTAAAAGAGTACAAAATTTATTCACCATCAAGAGGAACATAAGAGGAGACATGAGCAGACAAAACATTTCAACATCTCCTTGGAACACAAAGAATATGGAAGAGAACCTGAAAGCAACTTAGGAAGAGAGAGAGAGGGAGAGAGGGAGAGAGAGAGAGAGAGAGAGAGAGAGAGAGAGAGAGAGAGAGAGAGAGAGATAGATGTTGTTGTTAATAGGAAATTGGCTCCAAGTCCGTCTACAGATGACTAAGCCCTGGCAGGACCCTTCTTCTTCCTGTTGAAATCAGCCAATCACCCCTAACCTGCTCCTTGCAGGAGAGATTAACTCTTCGTAGTATTTGGAGTATGTAAGCCCCAAAGGACAAGGCAAGGCATAGTCTGAAAAGAAGAGGTTGAAGAGAAAATCTGGCTGATCTCCAGGGGCCCTCGGTCAGCTGCTAGAAGGCCACACGTATTACCACCACTACTCCTGGCAAGACTGAAGGACTCTTCCCTGGCGAAGATGAGTGGCTCTACAAGAAAGATGTCCTCACAATGACATGTGAGGCTCACAATTGAAAAGGCTATTGACTTCTTTCATTGTTCATCTTAAGCTGAAGTTCACTAGTCAGTAAGAGCTACCTCCACCCAGACTTTCCGATCGACATCTCAGGGCATCACACTTAAATGTGAATGTATGGCCCAGCTGGCGTGGCTCAGTGGTTGAGCAGCAACTTATGAACCGGGAGGTCATAGTTCAATTCCCATTCAGGGCACATGCCCGGGTTGTGAGCTGGATCCCCAGTAGGAGCTTGCAGGAGGCAGCCAATATTGATTCTCTCATCATGATGTTTCTCTCTCTCTTCCTCTCCCTTTCTCTCTGAAATCAATTAAAAATATATAAAAATAAATAAATAAATAAATATGAATGTATGTTCAAGGTTCAACAGCCTCTGGAGGAGAGCTGCTATGAAAAGGAGAAGGGGGAGAGAAAGTCTGGAAAAAATAATGGAGGAAACAGAGTCAGAAGGAAGCTTGATTAAAAACAAACTATGATTATGTTCTAAAAGAATTAAAGAAGATAATCACATCTATGAGAACAGAATGCTATGAAAATCAAAGAACAAGAGCTCTCCAAAATTAAACATTTTATGATTACGTTCTGAAAGAATTAAAGAAGGTAATCGCATCTACAAGATGAGAACAGAATGCTATGAAAATCAAAGAACAAGAGCTCTCCAAAAGTAAACATTTTATAAGTGAAATTTGGAAATCAATAGAAGTGTTGTAGGGTAAATTAAAAGCAAACCCCTCAGGGAAAAAAATACTTTGAACTTAAATAATAAGGAAGAGCATACCCTATATCTCAGCAGTCTGTACTCTGCGTCAACCAAATGTTGAAGAAAGCAAATGAGCCCAGTGACGTTGTTGGCTAGTCCGAAAGGTCAAGAGAATTTGAAAAGCTGGATTTTTTTTATGTCAATCTTTTCAAATTTTAAGACACTTTGCACATGAATAAAATACATCTGGCTGCTAATAGAGGATGATTAGAGCCCATCAGCTAAAGATGAGGATGAGCCCTCTCTCAGAATCACAAGTCCAGGGGAAGAGCTAGTACCAGACAGAGACATCGAATTCAACTTTCAGCAACTCTGAAAGTGTCTGGATTCAGTGCACTCAGTAAATATTTACTGAATGAACACCCGAAGAAGCTGAATTACTAAGCAACAAGAGACATAAAAATCAGTGTCCTATATAATAAAAGGCTAATATGCAAATTGTCCCATCGACCGGAAGTTTAACCAGGAGTTCGACCAGGGGGCAGGGTCGGCTGGCCAACCTCCCACGTCCCCTCCCCCTGGCCATACATGAATTCGTGCACCGAGCCTCTAGTTCTTAGATAAATAGAATAGGACATGGTGTCCTTGAAAGAGGACAGGCTATAATAACAGTAGAGTGAGTGAATGACTTGCAAAATTAGACTACGTGTTCTTTAAGAATGTAACACAAAAGCATACACAGAAGCTTTAACATTTTTCTAATAGGAGTTACCAAAACAAAGAGTAGATTGCAGGGAAGAATATACTCAGAGAGAAAGAGAGAGAAATAAATTTCCCAAATTAGAAGAAAGACAGTTCTCATATTGAATAAACTACATATGAAAGGTAATAAACTGAAAAAAAAAATCTATAAGTGAAATTTCAGAACATCCTGAAGGCCAGCAAATTAGCCAGAATAGAAAGAGAATCAGATTGACATCAGTATATTAGATGCTGATGGGAAAATCATTTCAAGTAGAATTCTCTCTACAGTGAAAGTGCATCACCATTCGAGAGTCATAAGAAAGTAAAACCATTTTTGGTAATTCAAGGATTTGGAATGTTTATCACCCACTTTATTGAAAAAGGATTCCAAGAAAATAAAAAAATGAATGCAAAAGAAAGACAGGGGATCTAAATAGCAAAAGTAGAGTTCATTTTTAAATTAAGTGCTGATGTTGAAAAATAATAAACTGGAATTAAATTAAAATAAAATTTAAAATAGTAAATTTAAAAGTTAAAGTTTATTTTAAATTAAGTGCACATGGTAAAAAAATAAACTGGAACAAAAATCTCAGGAGGGTATAACATGAAGAAGGGAAGGGTTTGTAAGATTCTTGCCTACTATAGAGGAAAATGCTAGAAGACTTGTGTAACACTTAACAACTTAGTCTAATAGAGATGTAAAAAATGTCATGTCAACAGAGAAAACACAATCTTTACAAAAAATGTGCAGATAACTATAAAAATTAACCTTTTGTTGGGTCATAAAAAAAACAATGAATCATTTCTCAAGAAAAATAATCATACGAATTATATTTGCTAACCAGAGTAAAGTGAAACTCAAAATTAAAACAGAAATATTAGCAAACATTTTCTAAATTCTCAAAATTTTAATCACTTTTCTAAAACCTGGGCTTGAAGATGGAATCAAAATGGAAAATTTCAGCTATTTAGCAATGAGGACAATGGAAATATTACCTATAGATGTAAAAAGAAAAAAACAACTCTACGGTGCAAAACTCTGCGGTCTTGATTGCCAATTTGTTGAAGTATAGATCGAGAACTGTTTTTCGAAGGAGAAAATAAAAAACAAAAATGTCTCGATTCTATTCATGGGTGCAGCCCCAGCACCCCTATCCATTGCCCTGGGCAGTCTTCAGCCTAAGGACAGGCGCTAGTCAACAAATCTGAACTTTCTTAGCCATAACCTTGGCTCATGCAATTCTCAAAAGTGTGAGGGCCTGCTCATAATCAGAAATATTGGATGTGTGAACTGCAAATACCTGTTGAGAATAACACCTATCTTGTACTCACTGGCATCAAATTCTTACTCAAATCTCCGATATATGAAATAAGTCTATGGCCATACCACCCTGAACGTGCCCAATCTCGTCTGATTTAAGAAATAAAATTTATGGAGTATGGCCTGGAGGGAGTATCTAGAACTCCAAACATAAAAGATGTACATATCTGGATTTTTTTTGATACTATAGTACCTTGACAGTATATATTTTGACATCAGAGCATGTAACTATATTGGAATATTGGGCATAATTCTCTTAAATTTCAGTATGATAAATAGATATGCTTTACCTTACAACTGTTTTTTTTTTAAATCATACAGACAGTATAAAATTCAAAATTGATTTTTCTCTCTGGGTTACCTAGACATTTAAAGCCAAATGGGTGACAAACTCTAACAAATGCATGGATCCCCATGGCATATATTTACCTCTTGGTTTTATTTAATTTTTCCTCTCCCCTTTTTTCCTTTGCCATGCCTTTGTGACTCATTTTCTTCTGTTGGGTACTATGCAATTTTAAGATATCTCAGACCCTTTTTAGAGCAATGCAAGGTATAAATAAATTTTGAAAATAAAAAGCTTTGGTGTGGTTAACACAATTCATTAACACAATGCAGCTCCACACACAGCTTTAGTCCTCAGTTTTTCTGGTGTCATGCAGATGCATGCTAAATATGAAAACCCACAATTACACTGAATTTATAATTAAGTGAGGCAGGTGTATAAACAATAGCACTTGCTTTATTCTTCAAAGTTTGGGTGACACAAAACCAGGAAACTGGCAGGATAACTGGTTAGTATATAAGGCTTACAATATTGCCATCATCGCATAGCCATCACTTTAGGAGAAAATGCAGTAGTATTCAGACTATGTGTACTGAATGATAAGAGGCAGTGGTCAGATAATGAGGTCTTTGCTGCTTTAATTCCCAACTGCAGAAGCTGTTTCTGGCTGCTGAGTGGATTGGGCATAGGGTTGGGGTGGAAAGATGGGAAACGATTTTCTTGAGAGAGTGAAAGGAAAGATATTTTTGGAGTCTTCAACATACAGTTGGCACACACTACAGCCACTGTTCAATGACTGAACTAGCCCCATAGCTCCCTCTAGTGGTGTTAACGCTCGACACAATCCCATATGCCCAGTAAAGGGACCATCCTATTTTCCCTTTTTTCAAAGCTATCAAAATAGCATGACGCCCTTCTAACTGTAGTTTAAATTTTTAATTTTTAATTGCCTTGGGTATTTTTTAAAGCAAATAGAACGCCTTCCATCTGTCAGGTACTATTCTAAGAACCTTACAAATTAACTGGCTTAATTATCATAACAATCTGGTGAAATAGGTGCTATCATTCTCTCTCTCTCTCTCTCTCTCTCTCTCTCTCTCTCTCTCTCTCTCCCTCCCTCCCTCCCTCCCTCCCTCCCTCTCCTTCTCCCTCTCTCTTACAGATGGGGAAGATGAGCCACAGAACTTTCCAAAGGTTACTCAGGTATTCTATACGGTCCCCAGAACAGTATTGTGAATTAGCAGGAGTAAGGGAACACGCATATGCATTAAACCCAAATTTAGTGAAGTAACACACAAAGAGTAAAAGATGGAGAGTGGTGAGAGCCCATCTAATTGGGGAATCTGGGAATCTGAACTCAAATTCGCTCTTTGCTGGTGACTAGCTGTGTAGATGGGGTGGTCACAAACTCAGTGGGCCATGAAAGAACTAAAATAAACCTCTGTAGCCCATTCTAGCCTTACCTGCCTGTGTTCTATACTTACAACATGCTCCAAGTAATGGATGTTTCTACAGGTGACCAAACATCATACGCCAGCACTCACAAGCAGGATACTTACGACAACCCTGGTATATACTTCTTCAGCAAAGTCCAAGTTCTTGAACTTGAGTTCTGTAGGAAACGTGTACTTGGTCAGCCACTGCAGAAGCGGCAGGTCAACGTTACTCCCAGCAAAGGAATACTGAGCGGCATGGATGTGTGTATCAACCAGCCCAGGCATGAAGAACTCACTGGAAATTAAGATGAGAGAAAAAGAATTTAATAGCATCTGTCGTCGTTTTCCATATGTTTACATCTTGTTTTCTCTTGGCCATGATTGAACTGTTCATCCCACATCCAGTTAGAGCTGATGCAAACAGACGACTTAATTCATCTAGTACTAATATATAGAGATCAAGATAGAAAAATGAAGCTCTGCTAGGAGAGAGATAGCTCCCCAGTTGGAATGACTGGTGTGAGGTTAATCACAGATGATGAAGGGAGGAAGAAGCTGAGGAGAGGGCCATGAACACAAAGGACAGGTGTCAGAGAAACTGCTGGACAGATGGGGAGCTTGCTTTGAAAATATTTGGTAGTGAATGTTGGGATGGTAATGTAGGGGAGGAGGGAGAAAGCTACATTTTGTTTTCCATTAGGAGAAGCCCAAGCATGCTCTGAAGGTAGCAGAGATAAAAGAAGTAAAGGAGATAATTCAGGGTGCAAAGTCTTCCGAGGCAACGGAACACCAGCGACTTATTGCATCAGAAATGTGATTTTTATCCAGAAAAGCTAACAATCCTTTTTAGGACACAGGAAGCATTGTGGAAGGCTTAGTAATAGAAACATTCACATAATCAAGGTCTAGTCAAGGACTTATATTACTGATAGTAGCACGTGCTAGAGCAGGGGTGGGCAAACTTTTTGACTCGAGGGCCACAATGGGTTCTTAAACTGGACCGGAGGGCCGGAACAAAAGCATGGATGGAGTGTTTGTGTGAACTAATATAAATTCAAAGTAAACATCATTACATAAAAGGGTATGGTCTTTTTTTTTTTTTTTTTTTTTAGTTTTATTCATTTCAAACGGGCCGGATCCGGCCCGCGGGCCGTAGTTTGCCCACGGCTGTGCTAGAGTGTTTGTGTGTTATGTGAGATTAGAGGTCACAGAGCCCCAAAGGAAGCTCAGAGATGCCAAGGTCATTTTCGGACGTGCAGTTCGTTAGTGGTCCAGCCAGGATTAGAACTCAGTTCTCCACCCCAGCCCTTACTTACAGCTAAATCATAGCCATCAAAAGTCAAGCTGCAAAAAGAAGACATATGTAAAACTTGAGAATAAAAAAAAAAGTCAAGCTGCAGGCAAAGCAGAGATGCGGCTTTGAAGGAAGCAGAAAAGGTGAAAAGCTCTTTCTTCTTTCCTCTTTTCACCTGACTTAATCACTATCATAATTCCCTTAGCAAATCTCGACTTCCACCAGAAAAGAACATCAATTTCCTATTTCAAACCTGTGGCGCAGTCCAGGCTGCCTCAGAACCGAAGGAAAAAGAACAAAGTGTGCCCTACATATGCTTATTGAAACATCCACCTGTCTTCTAACCAAGTGGAAAACCTTAATAAAAGCTTTAGAATTAAAACATACGACTGACTGTCTATAAAGGCCCGAGTGACTCAATCTCTTTGAGCAACATTGTTAACCTGCTCTGGGAGCACAGGACTGTTTGAAGACCACTGTTTTCTTGCACACACAAAATACAAGGATATGAAACCAACATCCTATCTTTATTTAAACTTTTGGTATTTTGTTCATCACAGATTTTTTTGGCATTAATTTTGATTTTTTTTAAATATTGCATTAAACTGATATTTATGTTGATTACTGAGTTTTTGCCCACCCCACCCCCCATAAATTCTGTGCCCCAGGTAAGTGCCTCACTCGTCTCACCCTAATCTTGGCCCTGCCAACCCCTCTATGATCCGTGGCCACAATCTGAACCACTCCTACCAAGGCACTGTGCAGAGTTGCAATTTTCATGTTTTCTTAAAAATACACATTGTGCTGAGAGAGACCTATACTGGTAGATACACAGAATCTATGAAACAGAAGATCAGAGACAGCATCTTCTGTGGTATTTTAATACTGACTTAAAGAAATTCAAACGCATATATCTTACGTGTTTAATATGTAAATTACTTTGCATTTTATATATGATTTTTCTTCAAAGACTTCAGTCTTCCACCAAAGTTTAACCTTTTTTTCTTACCTTACCTCTTATTGGTGTTTTGTGCTTAGAGGTTCCTTTGCATCTTCATTTCTTTGATGAATTTAATTCCAAAAGCAGCCTCATAAGGAGGGACAAAAAAATGTGACGACCCACAAATGTGTTCGCCCCTCCCCATCCTCCAACCACTTCACCATCCTCTCCCTCCCTCCCAGCCTCCACTTCATCCACTCCCAAGCCTTCTTCTAATCTCTGATTCCCAAGGCATGCAAGCCTTGTTCCTCAACATATATTCTCATGAAAATCTAGCAACAGGAAGCAGACGGTAACAGTAGAAGTCACTGGGATTCTCTCCATGCTCACTGGATTCATCTCTATGCCCATTGCCTGCAAGCATGCAGGCCAATAGAGAGGCAGCAGAGGGAGGGAAGGAGGTAGGAGATGTGAGTATAAATGCAAATGCAACAAAATTTTATGGCCAGTTACCTCCTTCTCTCTGGACTATGGTCAGCCCTTCTGCCTTAAAGCCTTAGGGGTAACACAGTTCACAGATCTGCTACAGGGGACACTGTGACCTAGGACAATCCTTTTGCTAACAGCCCAGGAATCAAGCTCAGAGAAAGGAAGTGGCTTGCATTACAGTTAACAGCCACAAACTGTAGCATGAGGATTCACTCCACGTGTTCTAATTCCGACTTCAGTGTTCTTCTCATTACATTACTCTAAGGTCACTTTCCAAGTTAAATGTTTTTAGAATGAAAATGATTTTGATTGACTTGGGAACGTTCACTGACTTTGGAAATATACGTGGCCTGAAACAAGATTAAATCGCTGAGTTAAAAAAGAAAAAGTATCTCCATTTCCATGAAACAAATCAAGCAGACTACGATGAATGTGGGCAATCACAAGAAACACGTTTTGAGCAAATTATTTAAAACTACTAAAAATAGTTGGAATATGAGATTGCAGCTCAAATACATTTTTAGAGCTAGGCCTTACCTCACCATGCTGTCAGCTATTGCTCCCCAAATCTCTCTCCTATCCTCCCAACAGTGATCTCTATCATCCTCTTTCTTTATTTCCTTTACAGAAGGTTCACAAGCCAGCACTGTCATGCTTCCCTATCTGTGCACTTGTTTGTGTTCTGTGTTCCCCAGGGGCTGTAAACACTGTGGGGACAAAGACTTTATAGACCATTTTCACCTTCGAATCCCAGTTCTTGCACATACTAAGCTCAACAAATATGTGCCAAAGAAGTAAATAAATGATGGCAGCCTCTAGTACTCAAAGTTCCTGCCCCTGTTCCCTATTTACCTCCCCTTCCCATCTCAACCTTAAAGAAATAAAAAAACCTCTTTGCCTCTCAATGCAGTTTTCTTATCATTTGAGATGAGTTAATGGCATCCACAAAAGGGAAGAAGTTGGCTAGGACTTACTGTTGGCTCAGTTCTCTTATCTCACATGGCTTGAAACCCCATTCTTTGGCCAGCTTTTCTTGTTGAGATGCTTCTTCTAAAAACACTATCTTTAAAAGAAAGAAAGGAAAAAATTACAAATTAATGACACGTCATTTGTCACTACTAAATATCTAAATAAGCGGTTCTCAACCTGTGGGTCGAGACCCCTTTAGGGGTTGAACGACCCTTTCACAGGGGTCACCTAAGACCATTGGAAAACACATATATAATTACATATTGTTTTTGTGGTTAATCACTATGCTTTAATTATGTTCCATTTGTAACAGTGAAAATACGTGCTGCATATCAGATATTTACATTACGATTCATAACAGTAGCAAAATTACAGTTATGAAGCAGCAACGAAAATAATTTTATGGTTGGGGGTCACCACAACATGAAGAACTGTATTAAAGGGTAGCGGCATTAGGAAGGTTGAGAGCCACTGATCTAACTCTTTTTAAAAGAGACTATACTATAGTTGAGTTCATTTTAAAAGGTAGTTGATACCAAACGGGCTTGAGTTTAGAGGCTAAAAGGCAGGTGTTTGCCTTTGCTTGCCCAAAGAAGTAAATTGCATGATATTTCTTCTTTTCTACCATTCTACAGATATAAGTATGGCTTCAAAATTCTAATTTGGAGATACAGGGTACGAAAAATGGCTAACTGGGCTCTGGCCAGTGTGGTTCAGTTGGTTGAGTGCCCCCCAATGCACCAAAGGTGGCTGGTCAGGACACACAGTCAGGCTGTGAGTTTGATCCCAGTTGTAGGCAACAGATCGATGTCTCCCCCTCACATTGATGTTTCTCTCTCTCTCTCTCTCTCTCTCTCTCTCTCTCTCTCTCTCTCTCTCTCTCTCTCTCTAAAAATCCATAAAAAAATTTTAAAAGTAGCTAATTGATATTTTTTTTCTTTCCCAGCCCTGAAAATGATTACAGAAAGCAATTGTTTATAGAAGGTATACCTCAATTACAGATGACTGAAAGATTTTTGTGAGGCTATTATGGGAGACTAAAGTCTAGCCCTAGTAGTGTATCATTGGGCAATTTATTAATACTGAATATAACTGCTCATAATTGCCTGACAATTGAGTCTTAGCATGAACGATGTTGTTCTGATACTAGATGTCTGCTATGTCCTTCTAGTACCGTGTAGGAGACACCAACAGAGTGATCTCTCGGGTTAGACTTATGAGGTCTGAAGCCCATGGGCCACAGCTGGGAAACCTCAATGGGTCTCTCAGTTTTTTCTGGTCTGGTTTCCCCATCTGCAAACAGCGGGTAACACCAGCACATACCTCACAAGGCTATTGTGAGGCCTAACTATGAACATTTGAGCAAACAAGTTAGCACATCCTTGGAACATGTTAAATTTTAGAAACATTATACCTATTGTTGATCATTTTTAAAGTACAGTGTGATTGCTTTCTCTATAAAAATGGTTTGCAAAGCAAGAAAGGACAAGGGTCAATGAAACATATATGCAGGGAATTTTTAAATGTAATATTGTTTCATTTTTAAATGTAATATTGTGAGAAAAAAACATTTTATGGAACATGAAATACTAAAAAAACACACCTATAGATAAAATAAATCTAGTTAATTAGAAGCAAGGCAATATACTGCAAAAAAAAATTGTTTATAGAACTGAAAATAAACTTCCTTATTCATTGAAGATATCCTTTTTTAAAAAATTCAACTATTTTTAGAAGAGAAATGAAGATTTAATTCCTACAAATAAGGAAAAGTAATTCAATGATTCAAAAAATACACTAGAATAAATAAATATCAAAGCGGATACATAATTAATCAAAACAGCTAACAAAGAACAGATAACATCTGTGCCAGGTAAAGAGCCCCAGAGTGTGCAAAAGAATGGACCATAAAAACAGAATTTGTTAATATGTCTCAGAACTGATTTAACAGTAAAGCAATCAATCAATAATAAAATATTTGTAAAACACTATATTCCCACATTTAAAAATATATTTGAGATAAATGTTTTTGAGAAAAATATAAATTATCAAAATTTAGTCTGGAGAGATAGGAAAACTGAATATACCAATAGCTTTAGAAAAATCTGAGAAAATTTTACTAATTCAGGAAACCATATGGTTCAGAACCATGCTGTCTAATAGAAATATAATTTCCATCACAAATGCATATGTAACTTTAAATTTTCTAGCAGCCACACTAAATATGTAAGACAAAACAGGTAAAATTAATTTTAATAATATGTTTTATTAAACAACATAGATGGCCATGATAAAAGATTATCTTGTCAAATTGAAATCAATATAAAAGTTATACATTTTATTTGGGGGGTATTCCAGGCTTTAAATTCCCAGGTGTATTTTGCATTTAAAGTATATTTCAACTGAGTTGCTCAATTTTCATGAGAAATATTTTATATATTTAGATTTTATGTAATTTACAAAAAGTAGACTCACATATCCAGGTTGTTCCAAAAACACTTAAAAGTTTTCCAAAACTGAGATGAGTATCAATTTTTAAATGGAAAATTAAATTAAAATAAGAAATAAAAAAGTTAGTTCATTGGTCTTGCTAGCCGCATTTCAAGTGCTTAATATACTGCATTGGACAGCACTCATTCAGAGAATTTCTTACCAAGTTCTTTCCGGCTAACAAAGAACAGATAATGTCTGTGCTAGGTAAAGAGCCCCAGAGTGTGCAAAAGAATGGACCTCTATGTTTACAAAGCTGGCATAATCCTCATAACAAAACCTGACAAAGCACATGCCACACATACATAAAAACATACATACAAACAGAGTGAAAATTACAAGCCAATGCCATTTGTTATTTCATAATATGGATGCAAAAATAATCTCAATGATATACTGGCAATAAAAAGCAAAAGTATATTAAAATAATAATTCAGCATGTCTGCAACATGTAAGCCTCAATTATTCTGACCAAGCAAGATACATCTTCTATCAAGGTATAACAGATTTTTAGTATTTAGGCAAGAACCCAACTCCTTTAAGAATGCTAGAATAACCCTAGCTGGTTTGGCTCAGCAGATAGAGCCCTGACCTGCGGACTGAATGGTCCCAGGTTTGATTCCGGTCAAGGGCACATGCCCGGATTATGGGCTCGATCCCTAGTAGGGGGCATGCAGGAGGCAGCCAATCAATGATTCCCTCTCATCGTTGATGTTTTACTCTCTTTCCCTCTCCCTTCCTCTCTCTCTCTCTCTCAAAACAAACAAACAAACAAACAAAAAAGACTGCTGGTATAAACCCACCCACCCTCTTAACTGTTATCTTCAGTTGACACTCAAGCTGGAATTCACCTGCTCCTCACATATACAACAGGGATCTTGATCTGTATCATTATTTTTATTAAAGCTCTGTATTCCTTGTCCCTGACTGAGCTCCGTCCCACCCCTCTCCACTTACCAAAACCCTTCACTGCGACCTCTTGTTACTGCCCCTCCATAAGCACCAAACTCCTCTATCCGTTCAGATGTGCTCTGAGTTTCTCCCTCCTAGTAGCTGGGGCTCTACCCCAAGGACATGGCTTCCCCTGTGCTTCTCAAAGGGCAGGTGTTCAGACATCAGGCTCAGGCAATGAGTGTGATGCCTTTGGTACCCACCACAGCCATTTCCAAACCATTTTTCCTTCAGCTTCTTGTAAACAAAGAAGGCTCCTCTAAGACCTGCCCCTTTCAGCTTTCAAGAACATCTACCCCTCTTTTTGTAGTTCTCCTTTACCAGCCTTTCTCTCATTGTTCAAATCTGTTGATGCCTGCCTCACACCCTTTCTCTCCACTCCACACCCTGCTCTTCCTTCCTTATAATATCAACCTGGACAAGCCTTTTGAAACCATGGCCAGCTACTTCCATGAACACATCTTCAGTCATTTGTTCATGAACTGCTCTACCTCGAAAACTCCCAAATCACAATTTCTTCTTTTACCTATTTGTCATTTCAACTACTCCAATCAATCTTCCATCTTAAAAAGCCCTCCCTTTACCTTCTCCCCTACACTTTTCCTCAGTTCATCAGCGGTCTTCTTTCACCATTTTCCTTGTCCAGCTTATATTCTACCATGTATTATTTCATATTGCTTATGAATTTTAATTAACCTACACCTGGCACAAGTTCAAACCTAAATGAACACAACTGTCCCCTCTTCTGAGTTGCACATGGTTGATGGAATATCCAGTCATCAAGCTCAAATGTGCTACTACCAATGCCTGTGCCTGGCACCCTAAGGTATTTCTTTAGCACTGTGGTCTTTACTTTCAATAAAATTTACAGGAGACCTGATTGCTTATCTGCTGAGAGATTATTAAAAATATTTTTGATGATAGATTAATATATAATTTTTATCAAATAACTCAGGAGTTCAAACAATTGAGAGATATTGCTCCTCCCATCACCATCTACTTGATTTGTGTGAAAATAATTCTCAGCACTTTCTTCTGTAAAAATAAAAAATAAGAAAAAATTGATGGTGCTCATATTTCATTCATTCTACAAAGTAACACTCATTTATAGATATATTTATATAGTTGAGTAAAAAACAGCCTTTTAATTTCACATATAACAAATTGCCTTTCAACATGTGTAATATATTTTAAAACTTCCTTTTGGTCCCAGGAAGTTTTAAACATTTAAATTTACAAGCACAAATTTTATTTTATTGGTTGCTCAATAAAAGACATTCAAGTGTAAAACTAGATTTCATTAGCACAACCCTGTAAGGGAAGTAGAATAGAATTAGTAATTCAAGAAGGAAAAGGGACTACATAGCATTTTAGATCTTTAAGGAGGAGCTAGCTAATGATTCTTAGAAAATTCGTTAAAGTAGATATCAAATCACTACATCTTCATTCCATCAAACACATTAGAAAATAATGTCACAGATGAATAGATAAAGAAGTGGAGAGGGGAGAGAGAGAGAGAGAAACACCAATGTGAGAAAGACACATGGATTGGTTGCCTCTAGCATGCTCCTCGACTGGGGGCAGACAGCAAACCCACCCTTGACTGGGAATCGAACCTATGACCCTTTGGTGCACTGTCTGATGCTCTAACCA